TGTCACTGAATGACCAGACAGGTTAAAGTGTTCTCCCACTGGTTTTTGATCCCAAATCTGACATCAGGAATCAAAATACTCAATTGATTATCACTTCAAAAGTTTTCTCTTAATTATATATATGTTTCATTCTATATGCATCCGAAGAAGTGGGCTGTAGTCCACGAAAGCTTATGCGCTAATAAATTTGTTAGTCTCTAAGGTGCCACAAGTACTCCTGTTCTTCTTTTTGCGGATACAGACTAACACAGCTGCTACTCTGAAAAGATTCACTTGCATTCTGTGTTGCTAGTGCCGCCTAGTGGCTATTCTTTTATTTGTTAAGTACCAAGGTTGTCTTTTGCTTTTCAGACCAGTGCAGCTTTCCCACCTACACAGTTCGCTCCTGGATCAACATATAGTGTGAGTTCAAGTGATGCTGAATCCATTTGTATTAAATGAAGGGAAAATTTTCTGCTTGGTTCAGTGGGCTAAATAGAGTTCTCTTTTACACCATGTAAGTAGAAAATAATTCAATTTGCTTGAATAGCGTTAGTCTGGATTTTATTACATCAGTGTAACTGAGAGCAGAACATGGCCCAGCCCAATATTCCAGGTCTGCTAAGGCAAGCTTAGGAAGAACTAAAGCAGCCAACTTTTACCCTTCTCATTCATGTGTGTGCGATATTAAGACTCCAGACTGGTGCTTTTGGATGGATACTAATGTGAAATGATTGTCCTGGGGTCCAATCCTGTGAGGTGCTGAGGACCCTCAACTTCCATTGCTGTCAAGGAGAGTAGAATTAGGCCAGTGTTTAGTGCTTTTGGGCCCTTTTCTTTGTTGTGTGTCGCTTCCGAAAACTCTGCTCTCGGAATTCCGTGAGGTTCCGGGGGTGTCACTAAGAACAGAATTTGTCTCGGTGGCTCTACTTTAGGCAGCACAGATAGAAAGCTTTTATTAACCAAATATCTAAATAGGGAGCTTGCGATATCCCCTTTCAAAATTGTCATTGGAACCTCCTCCCTCTCCCACTGTGGGTTACAGACTTTTAAAATCAATACACACAAGTAAGGCACAGTTAAAAGAACGAGTGGGTTACCTTTAAGAATTGGGAGTGTGGCTCTTGTGGAATCTGTAAGCACACTTTTGTTTTAACTCTGCCTGTTTATCATAGAATAACAGGGTTGGAAGGGACCTCAGGAGGTCATCTAGTCCAACCCCCTGCTCAAAGCAGGACCAATACCCAGACAGACTTTTGCCCCAGATCCCTAAATGGCCCCCTCAAGGATCAAGCTCACAACCCTGGGTTTAGCAGGCCAATGCTCAAACCACTGAGGTATCCCTCCCCCCACGGCTGCCTGTTCAGATGTGTGAGATCTTTTCTCCTTTCCTTTCCGTTTGCAGTCAAATCCTGCTTTCCCACCTGGACCATACCAGCCGCAAACTTATGTAAGTCTTTATAACATTATTTTGTGGTTGACGTCACTGGGGAGGTGGGTACTTTTTAAATCTGAAGTGCTGAAAGATCAGATGAAAAAGAATTCCGGCCGAGAATGTGATTTCAGAGAGCCGAAAGACTGTCAGGAGGAGTGATTTCTCTGAATTGTCACATTGGGAAAGAATAATGCCCACCCGGTTATCCAACAGTGGAAAGGTTAGTGTACAGAACAGTTTTCTTATGGGAAAGGTTCCATAGCCATTGATGGACCTATGCTCTATGAACTTGTCTAGTTCTTTTTTGAACCCTGTTATAGTCTTGGCCTTCACAACATCCTCTGGCAAGGAATTCCACAGACCAACTGTGCATTGTGTGAAAAAATACTTCATTTTGTTTGTTTTAAACCTGCTGCCTATTCAAGTAAGGTGACCCTTACTTCTTATGTTATGAGAAGGAGTAAATAACCATTCCTTATTTACTTTCTCCACACCAGTCATGATTTAATAGACCCCTATCATATTCCCCCTTAGTCGTCTCTTTTCCAAGCTGAAAAGTCCCAGTCTTATTAATCTCTCCTCATACGGCAGCCGTTCCATACCCCTAATCATTTTTGTTGCCCTTTTCTGAACC